TTTGTAATAGCCAGTTGAGTTTACCATTTATTCGTTTACCGACATCCCAATTCTGAACATAAATCTCTCTCAAATTCTTACAATATTTCAGTATCAAATCGTAAAAGTCACCATCTACTGAACAATATTCGTGTTGTATAATTTCTACTTGGGGCAAGAGTTGTTTAAAATGTTCAACTGTTTCGTTATAAATATCTATTTCCGCTAGATAAATTTTATTAACTGACTCAAACTCATTGATATGAGATTTAGTATATGTAAAGCGGCTGAAATCGTCATGAAAATATGAAATACACGGAATGAACTTATTAAAACCAAATATACGGTCTTGTATGTCATCTTTATCCCAATCACACATGTAAAGTCCATCTTTGTCCCACATTATATTATCAGCCGATGAATAATTTTGTTTGAAGTATTCGCCGGCCACTTTGTTCAAACGCTTACATGTTAGACCGAATGAATGCAAGTCTTTCACGTTCAAATATTCAAATATCTCGTCAAAGCAATCGATGTTCAATTTGAATATTTTCGGCGGAGATTCCTCGTTTGATGGACCTGCCACCGGCTCTTCGTTATGATTTTGGTTATCTGAGTGTGACAATTTCGGATTTTTTTGTGGATGACTCATAGCGAAACTTCATAAGAATAGAACAATGAAATGATAATTAGTATTTTGTGAATTTGTTTTTATGAGAATTTAAACTTTTAATAGACGCTTAAAAAGAAAGAATGACCAAAAATTGTATTTACCTTTTCAAAGATCTCAAAAATAATATTTTGTAATTTATAAGACGAAGTAATCAACAGAGACATTGACAATCGGACAGATATGGTTTTGACACTTGTTTCACTTTAATCTGACGTTTTCTATCATTTCCTCCTGTTTTCTCCATGTTCATCGTTTCTACTCGTTTCAAATGTTTTTCTATGAAATTATGAAACTAATGGCACACTCTGTGTGAATAATTAAAATGAAAACTACAGGATACATTTTCCAAATAAATTCAAGTATATCTTTATTTCTGATTCTCAATAAAAATGTATTTCCAGATTTTTTTTAAACAAAAATCGGCCATTAATTACCATTTTTATCACATTTAACACTGAAATGTACTGTACTTCAAATTAAATTTTGAAAGAGAAAAAGACATAGGGATATTAATTTCTTTTTATTCAAAAATTTATTACTTTTTTACTTCGTAAGTTGACACGTCTATTGCTTTTTCTTAAAAATGAACCTGAACATATTTTAAATTCAAGTGCAGAATATTGATCTGATTGATGATTTGAATAAAAAAGTTTCCTTTTCAAAAAGATTATATTTAAAAATTAAGACTCCATTTCATCGAATCCTCTCGTTTCAATTCGATGTGGATCAAATTGGTGTCACCGAAATTTTTCGAACAGATTGATCGATTTCGACGTTTGAGGTATCGTTGGAAAGGCATTGAGCTCTAGAATAAATATCGATGTTTCAGGTGTCAATCTATGGCTATAAAACTGAATTTTGACTCTTTTCTAGAAAGGACCATATTGACCACACAGGTGGAGCGATTTTCGAACTTTGATATTTTTTCTTAATCTATGGCCCAAGGGCTTTTCAACCATACATCAACCAGGGCCAAAGGCCTTCTAGGTCTGGATTTAGTATATTTCGTGTATATATAGCGAGTTCGACTTTTCAACACACTAATGTGGTTTCGTCACTCGCGCGAACTGCCATCCGCTGTGAAATATTTTTCCAGGATTTTATTTCCTAACATAAGTTATATGTAATCGTACATCAATCCAACTATTTGTTTCAAATTCCACACTAAAGTGTACTTCAAATTACATTATTTTGAAAGAAAAGAACCCATATGAAGACTTCTACGATTGAATTTTTCTTTATTCAAAAATTTAATCAGATTATAATTCAATCAATTTTCCAGCACTTTTTTATAGTGAAATATACAAATTGTAATGCAATTACAAAGACTATACTTTTTTTTAAAATAATAAATGTGTAAGGATTTTAAATTCAAATGGAATATTGAACTGATTGATGATTTGAATAAAAAATGTTGTTTTCAAAATATTGCTCGTTTAAAGACTTCAGTAACGCGTATTAGAACAATTCACGCTTCGTGTATATTCGGCACATCATCGCTGCTTTACGGAATATACGTTATTTACGTTGAGTTCACTGCGAAATGTCGTGCATCTAATGCTCTAATGCATGTGTTTGCTCACAGCCATACACTGTGACTGCAGTCAAAGAAAGTTCGCACAAAAGAGAATGAAACATTTACATATGGCTACTTGATGTTTTTTGACCATGTCGCAGTGAATTCTACTGCTGATATTCGCCTAAGCAGTGAAGATGTGCCGAGTGTACACGAAGCGTGAATTCTTCTTATACGGGTAGTAAAAGTCGTATTGGCTTTAAACGAGTGTATTTAATAGTGATGATTCCATTCAAATGAATCCGATCGTCTCATTTCGATGAAGTT